TTTAATATGTAGATTTCTTGATTAGTTGAATTAAGCTAAGATTTATACAAAAATAGATCTATGCTGAGTATACAATCAAGTATGCATCAAACAAAGAGATGAATGGAAGACTACATTTTGAACCAAGTATGGACATTTTGAATATAATGTCATGCCTTTTGGACTTATAAATGCACCAGAGATTTTTAACATCTTATAAATGATATTTTTTGAGAGTTTTGGGATGATTTTATTATCTATTATCTATGCAATATCTTGATCTATTCTAAGAACACAAAAGAACATGAATTTCATGTTCATTTTGTGTTACAAAAATTAAGAGATGCCAAATTCTATGCTAAGATAGAAAAGTGTATATTCTATACTACTTAAGTTGACTTTTTAGGTTATATCATTTTAAATAATAGACTTATGATAGATCCTAAAAAAAATCAAACTATTATAGATTCAAAGATCCCAAAAACGGTTCGAGATATCTAATGTTTTTTGAGATTTTCCAATTACTATCAAATCTTCATCAAAGACTTCTCTTCAATTGAACCTCCACTTACACGTTTGACTTATAAAGACAAACTTCAATAAAATCAAGAAACAAAAGTAGCATTTGAAGCTTTAAAGACAACCTTTGTATTTACATCAATCTTGTATCATATTCACTTCTCTAAGGCATTCTTTATAGAAATAGACACATCAAACTTTGCTTTGAATTTTGTATTATCTTAAATAAAAAAAAATGATAAACTTTATCCAATAGCTTTTCATTCTAGGAAATTTTCAATAGCAGAGATTAAGTATGAGATCCATGACAAAGAACTTCTTGCAATTATAGATTCTTTTCAAGAATGGTATCATTATTTAGAAGGTGCTTCTAGTCCAGTCACTGTATATATAGATCACAAGAACCTCGAGTATTTCATGTTAGCTTGTGTTTTGAATTATTGCTAGGCTTGTTGGAGTATGTCTTTATCAAGATTTGAATTCAATGTCACTGACTGGCTAGGAAACAACAAAGTTTGTTCGATGTCCTTTTCAAACATTCTTATCTTGTACTTAAAGAAGGAGATGTAGCTTTTGATCAACAAATGAAAATTTTATTGAAGCTAGAATAATTTCATCTTTGAGCAGTAAAATCAATATTAACTATTGATTCAACTTTTTTCAAACAAATTTAGTCAAGTATGTCTTCTAATCTTCTTCTTCATGATATCAAGAATACTTCCTCTAAGTCTCGTGATATTTCTAAGTTTGAATTCAAGAATAACCTAATTTATTTTGAAAAATGCCTATATGTACTAGAAAGAGAAGTACGTTTACAAATTCTTCAAGCTTGTCATGACTTTCCAATAACAAGACATTTTGGATATAACAAGTCTTTGGAGCTAACATCTAGAGATTTTTTGTGGCCGCAATGTAGAAGGCTATAAAAGACTTTGTTCAATCATGTGACATTTATTCAAGATCAAAAACTCCTCAACATCAGCCTTATGGACTTCTTTAATCATTACCTATTTTAGAACAACCATGGTCTTTTATTTCTATGGATTTTATCATGAATCTTCCAATCTCAAGATTATATGATTTTATATTTGTGATAGTAGATTTTTTTTATCAAAATAGCACATTTTATACTATGCACAAAATCTATCACATGTAAAGAAACTACCAAGCTTTTCTTTGACAATATCTATCGATATCATGGATTGCCGAAAGATATTATAATAGATAGAGAGATTCAATTTATATCAAGATTTTGGAAAACTCTTTTTAAGATTTTAAAGATAGATGTAAAGCTTTCTTCAGCCTTTCATCCTCAAATTGATTGACAGATAAAGCATATAAACCAAATTTTGGAGCAATACTTAAGCTGTACCATCAATTATTAACAAGACAATTGGAGAATCCACTTGCGGTTGGCAGAATTTGCTTATAATAATACGATGCATTCTTCTATACAACAAACATTTTTTTTGCGAATTATGGTTATCATCCATGACTTGCTATTTTTGTCTTTTTAAAAGTTGATATCCTATGATAGAAGGTTTGGCAAATTGTTTGTCAAAGCTACATGCAATAATGAAGGTGCAATTAAAGAAAGCTTAAAAACAACAAAAGATCAACCTAGATGCCTATCAAAGGAAATAACCACAATTCAATGTAGGTGACAAGGTATGGTTGCTTCATCGTAATATCAAGACTATTTGTCCTCGTGATAAGTTAGACTATCGTAGGCTTGGACTTTTTCCTATTTATCGACAAATCAATCAAGTTGCTTATTGATTATATCTACCGAATGCAATGAAGATCCATCATATCTTTTACATGTCTCTTCTTAAACCATAAAAGACTTTGAATATACCAAGAAGAAGACAAGTTCTACCTCCTCCTATAAAAGTAGACAATAATGAAGAGTTCAAAGTGGAAGAAGTTCTAGACTCAAGGCAGCACTAAAATAAATTGGAATATTTTATCCATTGGCATGGATATAATATTAGTGAAAACACATAGGAGTCCATAAAGAATCTTGCAAATACAGCAAAGGTGGTAGAGGCATTTTATTGATGACATCTATCTAAATCAAGATGAAGAATAGTAAGTCTTTGTTATAAAAGAAACAAGATCCATAGAAGAATATATTCTACCATATATCTTTCTTTGTAGCTTCTATATATTTGTAATGCTAAGGACATAGAGAACCAATAACCAGCAAATTTAACTCAAGAGCTTTTATTTGAGGACTTTCTAGATGAGATATTAAGATTGTCACAACCTTCAAGACAACAAAATCGAAATAAAGATCCTCAAGAACGATATATCCTTCCTCAAATAACTCCTCACAGTATTCCAAATATTTTATTTGAAGGAATTTATGAAGGCATCAACAATGACCAAATAACAAGGTGGTATTCTTGCCCTAATATGGAATATTATCGATGGCTAAAAGGGCCTATTAATTATCTTCAAAGAAAACAAAGATTGGAATATGTGACAAATACAATTTGCCGAATCTTGGATTTCTTCAACATATGAAGATTGCTCCTCATGGAGCTTGTTTCTAGAAAGAGGAGTAATGTTACACATATATACATATAAATCAATAATTATCTACATGATTTAAATAAAAATAGGTAAAAGTAGATTAATTCTATAATATCTTCTATAAAAGCTTCCTAGAAGCTTCATAGATGCTACTTTGACTTTATAGGTATATATAATTGAATTTTTAGATTAGAAACGTAGTCAACAAGTTGGCCATGTACCACACATGTTAGTAGCTTAAAAAACAAGCTAACTAACATGTAGCCCACACATAAAAAACTTGCCTTATTAGCTAGTGCATGTGTCTTGCAAAGTCAATACATATTAGAGGTCCTATAGAATATCACCACTTACTCCTAGTTAGATAGTATATATAGAGGCAAGAATAAAGTCCTCTTCACTCTTGTCAAATCCTTTCTTGATTCTAGTCTAGATTTAAGAATCTCTAGTTTCCTTATTTTTTGGCAATAGCCATTCTAGTTTCTTTTAATATACATATTACTTTATTGCTATTTTATCACTTTTTTTTAATACAATTTTTTCATATTTATGCATCTTCTTCCAATTCATGTCTTTGAAAAATTTAGTCTCTTTATCTAATATTGAAGCCAAATATAGGATTTTCTTCATAAAGCAATAGAAATAATTTACCTCTAGAAATTCTTTAGAGAATTAAAAGTCAAAAACACAATTCTTATATTTCTCTTTAGTAACAACTAATCCTCCATCTATCTTACAGACAACCCAATTATGCATGAAAAGACCAAAGACATACATATAAAGGTACATTTTATTAGAAAAAAAATACAAACGGGACATCTATTCAATAAGCTAACCAAGTTTGTATTCTATATTTGCTATACAAACAATCAAGAAGAATTGGGCATAATACTTTTATCCGCAGTGTTTTCTTCTACTAGAACCTAAATCCTAATGATCTTTAAATCCAAATATAAATCAACCTCCTTCCCAAATTAAAAGAATTGATACTATGAATCACTAAATTCTTTAACCTAGAGCTCACACTCCTCCTACAAAGTATAAATATTGGAACTAAATCCTTGCTTGATAATGTACAACCTTCTCCTCCACAAGAAAAGCAAGGTTGTAACTTCGCAAGGCAAAACACAACCTACATCACTTCCACGCTGTGTTGGAGATCCAATTAATCCCAATTGTTTCCAACTAATTTTTGCATCCTCAATTGGCTTTCTTGCACTTTCAACTAATTGATATGAACAATCAAGGATCAGCTCCATTAGAATATTGATGAAACCTCAAACAACAACCACAAAAAACCAAATTAATACAAGCAAGAGATGCTACTATATTAAGCACCAATTTCAAGAGTTGTCAAATTTGTCTAAGCATTGCAATACCCTAGAATTATTTATCTGCAATGTAAAGAGACACGCACCCGTCTCAAGGCCTCAATCTGTTGTCGACAATTGATTACAACATTGGCAAGCAAAAACCTCACTAGCAACATCTTGCTTGAGAAATAAGGCCAAGAACAAGAGGGGTTGTAAACATGATTGCTCTCAGTGCAAGTTCATGCATTAAAAGCATTACTTACAAAATCCTAAATTTCCTTAAAACTCATTAGGGTAAACACCATAGCTGTGGCTAAGTGGCTCAAACTTTGCACTCTTACTTGAACTGTTTCTCTGTAAAGACAACCTAATAATACATCCTCTTTGAGAAACTGTTGTTTTCAAGAATTGTCAACCTGGACACCATCCGCAGCACCAACTCAGATTGCACGGAACAGTGTTTATAATTCCGCTTGTCGTATCAACTGTTCTTACGACACTACAGATTCACATCAACATTGTTATTTTTGTGTTACATGAGTCATGTGTTAGTTGCCAGAAAGGTTAGTTTGCTACACAACCGGTGTAGCTTCAAAGCAAAAACCAGTGAGATTCTTAGTGGGTCCTGTCAGATTGGACCACAAAAGCCTGTTGTGGAGATACTCACATCCCAAGAGGGAGGAGGACAATCAACTAGATTAAATCAAAGTCAAAATAAAAATAGCACTCTCACTAACCACAGATGTGGAATTCAACAAAGAGTGAAGCTTAAGAAGAAGTGAACACACATGTGCAAAGTGGAATGCTTATGGAAAAGCAATCAGGGATGAAGAACATGGACCTACTATACTACAGTTTTGAGAAGAAACGTGAAGTTGCATGCTACGAAGCTGCTACGGTGTCGGTGCAGACAGAGGGCTCCGATGGTGGGGCTGCTTTTGCTGCGGAAGAATCCAAACCCAGAGCTTCTAGAATGGCGGCATTGGAAGGGTGGTCGCCGAAATGCTCTTGACGAAAATCTAGCAGAGTTTCGCCACCTTTGGCGAGAACGAAGGTGGCTCCCAGTTGCCGGCCATCGCCCTTGAAGTCTCCCGGTGTGTCTTTTGTCTTCTTAATGGCGTCCTTCACGCTTTTGTTGGAGACCATCATTTTCACCGAGCTCAGGATCCCCACCTTCTGGATGTTTAGAGCTTTGTGGATTTTCTTCCCGTTGTCGATGTAGAGCTCTCCTTTCCAGAACCCTCCCTTTTGGAAGTCCTCCAGGCCGACCTTCTCGATACCTAGACGCCGCGCATCAACATCGGCATCACAAACATCCTTGACGAGGGATTTCCATCGTACTGTAAAGGACTAATGCGACGAATCATCATCTTGTGGTGGTGGTGGTGGGTGAGATATGTACCTATTCCGATAATTCGCACTCCGTGTGCTTCAAGGTCGGGGAAAATTTTCCCCATCTCCACTGCCCCCCCTCGGCATAGCTGACATCCGAACCTTCGAAGGACGTGAATGAGAACGGGCTACAAGAATCAACCAACAAAGCGACTTGTCAGTGTTGATGATTTGGTGTGGTTAGAGCGAGCGAGCGATTGTTCTTTGGGAGTTTGTTGCTGCAAGGATTGTCATTCAAGGTAGACCGCATACAAAATTAGAAAATGCTTCACCTGGTCATTCCAGAAGGTGCTCAACGGGACGCTGCTAAGGTCTCCAGTGGCCCCAACAACCTTCTCCACCTCCAGGGCCCCAATGGAATCTGCCACAGTTCGTGTTCCTCTCTCTGTACCCATGTCTCCGCAACAAATTTATCCACAACTGCAAGGTCCGTCGGGTTTCCTTCCGCTCAATGCAACTAAAACATGAAGAAAAACAAGGAAAATAACACCAGAGCCACAAATCTCGTTTCCACGACTTAAATAGGAGTCACCTCCAAAAGCTCCACGACAGACTGTCAAACAACGTGTTTCTTCTGCTTGAAATGCTTCCGCAAACCACACTGAATCTATTACCAGAGACTCTCTTTCCTTAGCTTCCGGATTATGAAAAGTTCGTCCAATTTATCTGAGATCACTCTACTCCATCGTTTCATCCTTCCGCAGCAAACTATTTTCAGTAACGTTGCCCAAGTCAATTCGACAGTTCTGAATACCGAGCCTATTGAGGAGATGGTAACGAGTTTCAGGGAATTACAGCGGCGATTAATTTCTTTAAAAAGCACAGCCACGTACACTCCTCCGAGCCCCAGCAGGTTGTGTTTTTATAGATGTGACGATGAAAAGATGGATATATATATTCATTTATGTATCGATTGGTGTAATATTCAGTGGACATGAAAACTCCAGGTCGGTGATTGTTCATGTCGATGATCAGAGTGAGGGTCCGGTTCTCACTGACTGGTTAAGATCACCAAATCTGATAGAAAAAAGATAAAGAATTCACATAGAGCCCTGAACGTTAATCTCTCCACAATCGCATTTGTGATGAAGGTTTTGGTTTCTGAAGTATTTTGCTATAAAGTTGAGTTTCACTAGTTCCAACTCCAATTCATAGCACTGTCACAATTCATTTTTATTTTTCAACACCATTGGGTAACATTGCATAACGTTGCATTGTATGTTCTTTTTTTATTGCTTTTTTTCGGAGTAGGAACTTTGAGCTACTCCACCACCTCATTTCAACGCATGATAATAAATGAATATATAAATAAAAAGTGTATCCTGGTCATGAAATGACCTTAAACTACCAAATGATGATAGGAATGCAGCATAAAGTATTATACTAAGGGTTGAGAATTTGAATTCCAGTTGTGAAGTTCCAATTATTTTTTATGATAGATTCTGACTTCAGAGTGTGACTTCTTATTGGGTCAAAAAGCTTCTCGAAAATAAGTATTTGTATAAGTCATGTTACTTTGATTTAAGATAGAACACATATGTTGCTATATGAATAAATATACAATTTAATGATAAAATTAATTTCTTGAAAATAGTTGTATTGTCTTAAATATAAATAAAATTAGATTTAATATTTATGCTCTTATGTAATCTATGATAGAAAAATAAAACTTTAAAACATAATATAAATTCGTTCTACAAAAATCAAAAATAAAATAAAAATAAAAATAAATTGCATTTTAAAAAGAATATATATATATATATATATATATATATATATATATATACATTAATTTATAAAGAATCAAGTCAATAATATAATAGGTTGGAAATATTGATAGCTGAAATACCTGAATGAAACTAAAGACTAACATTATTTTGATTTTTTAGAATTATCTAAATTTTAATTACATCTCGAACCTTTTGTATTATCTAATTATCTAATTGGATTGATGACAAGTTCTAAAACTTAAAACATTTCTTTATGATTTGTATCATTATTTCAAAATACTTTGCAGAAACATTGTAGAATTTTGAGGTATTTTTTTTTTTCAGCATAATTGCAAAATGCACAACGTAATAGATACTTACAGTTAAATTTCAACAATCAAATAACACAAATCATATATTAAAAGTAGATTATATCATATTATAAAAAATATATATGATAGTTTTTTATAATATTAACAAAGTAATGAGATATGTTCAAGCACAACTTGCAAGTCAATGCAAGTTGATGCATGCAAGTTTTGAATTTATGTTCTTGAAAAAGTAAGTTATTTCCAAAATATAATAGATTTGAAGTTGCTAATTATGTAAATAATTCTTTAATTGATAATCAAAATGTGTCCTTCAGTCACAATTATAAATTTCGGTATAGCAATGAGGGCTTCATTAAATGAGGTATAATTTTGTATTCATGACTTCAGTAGTAAAAAGCCATTGAAAGCAAACCCAAATGAGTTTTAGATTAAGTTTGATTTGGTTTGAATTGCCTAAAATTTACTTTTTAAGAAACAAAACAAATCAGAAAAAAAAAAAAAAAAAAAAAAAAAAAAAAAAAAAATGGCACTTTTAAACATAGTTAAATGTTTGAATATAATGCAACTTCTGGAAAAGATAACAAGTTGACTAACTGAAGAAACTACTTTAAAAATTAGATATGTGCGTTTTCGGGTCTCAGATGGCCCTTACTTACCTTCAACAAGCTAATTGTGAACTACCGTATAAATATTGTTGTGCACACTACACACCAACCTAGAACACTCTCAATGAAATTTACCAATGGATAATCAAAAACCAAGACCTGCTGTAAAGGATGGATTTCTCAACAACTGGGACAGTGGTGATCACATACCACAAAACTCGTTCAAAATTGGTTTAATAAAAAGGATGTGATATAAACCAGAGAGAGGGGTTCAATGAGTCTTTACATCTCAACAGAACGAGAGCCACGCTGCACGGGGAACTGTGCAATGCGAAAGGAGCTGGAAAGCAGCAGCATCAGCTCCAGGTATTTTCTGAAGCTCATTCAAATCTAATTTACAGGAACCAGAGGATGCGTGCCTGTCTCATTTGCCGCAGTCATGGCTGAGCTCCAAGTCCAGTTGACATCGAACAGGAAATATCCTCTAATCGGGGTTTACTCTACAGTTATCGCTATGTACCCAGGGCATACGATGATGTCCTGGTGAGATGTTCTTCTTCTTTAAGTCGGACACAGGGTTTTACAGCTGCACCTAGACAAGTGGTTGCTAATGTCTTGATAGCTACATAGGCTGTCCTGCGAGAAGCTGCTCCGGTGTTGTCATTCGGGAGGCTGAAGGCTTCTAGTTCACGGGCACTAGATGTTCGAAGCACATACCCTTCCAATTGATCACTTGACCCCACCCTTGGCATTGTCCTGAACTCTTCATTCATGGCCTTCAGCTGGGCACTCTGCAGTTCCAAAAGTTTTGGCTGGTAACTTAATCGGACAGATCCACTTCCACTTCGAGACGAGGATCGACTCACTGGGTGCTCAACTAGGTCGTACTGAGAAGTAATCAGATCCTGTACCTGCGATATTTCACACAAAGGGTCGCCTATCACTTCGCCTATAACGAAGTCCATAACCTCGGCTTCAGTATTGTTACAAGGCTCATGAGGTGGAGTAAGCCCCAGCTCATGTGAAATCCCCGGACTGACACACGGAGATAGCGGTGCTGACGGCTTTTTAGAGGTCGATACTCGTGACCTGGACTTAGCGGCATGCGTTTTCAACCAGTTGGCACTAGACACTGCATCGTCGTCACACATCTCCTCGTCTATGTCCACCGTCGCACTTGCACTACTGGACCTAAAAGAGGCACTTGCGGACTTGAAATCCTCAAAAGTTGTCTCTGATTCAACTTCGCTGTAATCCGTACTGTAGGGAGTTGAGAGCCTCCAGGATGTGCGAGGATCTTGAGCACTCCCATCAGCTACACGACTGTCGTCGCCTTCGTCAACACTAATTCGTGTAGGAACCTCTTCAACGCAGGTATTTGTCGCCACAGGCTTGTCAGGGAAGACATGTGCAGAACAAACTTCGGCTGCAGTGGGTTGATCATCAGCAGGGGTTTGGCCAGGCCCGTCTTCCTGTTCAGAGTTGATCATTGTGGCCTCCTGCTCTGCTAACCTAGAGACCCGCGACAACAACCTCTTGTGGTTAGGGTGAGAAGACACTTTTGTTGCTCTACGAGCAGATGCTGCAGGCCATGGCCGCTGTGCATTCACACCTCGCATGACGAACCGTGTCATACCATCCACTGCTGAACCCGAAACTTTTTTCTGAATCTCTTTCAAATCATCAACAACGCACAACATGGAGGGGCGCCTGAGGCGAGATGATCGAACGCACTTAAGGGCCAGGTTTATCAACTGCTTGAGAGGCTTGATATTCCCAGGCAGATCCAGTTTCCTGTCCAATAGTTCATCCATTCTGCCCTGTTTGATGAGCGGAATGGCCCATTCGTGAATGCATGGGGGTTCGTAGGCTAGATCGATCGCATTCCTGCCGCTAATCATCTCAAGCAGAAGAATTCCAAAACTGAAGACATCCGTTTTGGTGCTCAGATCCGATGGAGTCTCGTACTCAGGGTCCAAGTAACCCATTGTACCTGCTGGTGGAGTTGAGGACTTCAACATATCCTCGATGTTGCCTCTTAGAGCCAAACCGAAATCACCAAGCCTAGCTTTCCAAGTTTCGTCAATCAGCACGTTAGAGGACTTTATGTCCCTGTGTATGATGGGAGGCGAAGCCGAGTGGAGAGTGAAAATGCCTCTCGCGATTTGCAGAGCTAATTCAATACGCATCATCCAATTGAGCGTAGTTTTGAAGTTGTCATGAAGGTTGTCATGCAGCGTGCCATTGGACATGTATTCTACAACTAAAAGCTTCTCGTCCTCCTCACGAGTGTACCCCAGTAAGTTGACAAACCTTTCACTCCAGATCTTGGACAATATCTCAAGCTCATTATCGAAGGAGGTTTCATCTTGGAGAAGCTGACGCGCATGTGTTGCTCTTTTGACCGCTACTTCCTTCCCATCCTTTAGCACCCCCTTGTATACCAACCCGTGACTACCCTTGCCAAGAAGACGGCTTTCCGCAAAATTCAAAGTTGCATCTCTGAGTTCCTGCTAAGCCATACGAGACAGAGTTACACAAAAGTATCTCCATGAACATTACTGGGATTGAGATGAGATTTGAGAATGTCAGCAACACTCCACGGACAAACAAGAAGGGAAACTTCTAGCCTTTAAAACAATACCACAAAGACTGAAAGTTGCAGAAGATTGCTCGTACTAATCCAAAGACAAATAGAGTGATTTGAACAGATAGTGGCTATCAGAGGTAAACAGTGCAGGTGCGGAGCCAGAGATGAGCTCAAAAGAAAGTCTTTCTAGGAAATCATGTCTGGACAAGACACTTACAGAGAAAGAGAAAACTCGTGGGATGATATTTCGCGGCTTCGTGGCTTTTTTGATCAATTGATTTTTCTGCTTCAAGTGTACGGATTCACAAGTTCCGATAGCAGCTTCCGTTCGACAGGATAGATACCCCATGGCTGAGAAGTGGATCATTCGGCTGCCCGCATAGTTGGCAAGCGCAAGGAGCTATATCGCATAACCTTAAGGATAAAAACAAAACCGCCAAGCTGCAACCTTCAAGCCATATGAGAGGATTGCACCTTATGTTGGCCTACTGGTCGGCCCTCCGTGCACTAGATCCATACTTACGTCCAAAAAACACAATCACGAATTCTGTAGGTCCAGATGCTAAATCAACAAAGCCCAATAGCGCCACTCCGCCTGTCCATACCTCTGAACCGTTCTTAGTATCAATCAGCACTGAGAGCATGAACCCTGTAAATGCTGTTTCGCTGTGAAATGTGGTTAACTTCAGCGATACAGCACGGCTGCACGTGTTCAAATTGGTCAAACTATCTGACTGCAGTTCTACTCCTAATCACCAGCTTGGAGGTTTGAAACCACCATCATCGTCCCATCGAATGCAACTTCTGGCACTCCTCCAAAGTATCATCCGGTTTAGGTCTCACATTCTTTCCCAAGGATTGCAGCGATGATTTGACCCAAACCTGCAACATCCATTTTTTTAAAACATCCGCACTTGATGCATTTCAATGAATGAGTAAGATTGAGATCAATCTAGATCGACATGTGTTCACTCAGGTTGAAGCAGCATCTTCAGTCATTTCTTTAGTTCAGGAACCTGAAAATATAAAATGAGAAAAAGTGAATAAAAATTAAAATCATTCAGCAAGTATTATTGATTTCAGAGACCACGATACAAATAATCGTCATCACTATCGTTGAAGGAAACCCCAATTCCGTGCAGAATATGACGAAGGAAGTTCTTTCTAAACAAAGCTTATCGTCAAACTGTCAAAACTACCAGCGACGTTCGATGAAGAGAATTAGCATGAGCGTCTCATGCATTGCGATCAATGCTACGCACTCAAAGAAAGCCTTCCGTGCTAGATTACAACTAATCACCATAATACACTGGGCTCACACGTAGTTTCTATCTCAAATCCCAATTTCCTACATTTCAAGGAATGAGCTCCGTGTGCGAGAGAACTCTCAACACCCTCTTTGCGACTACATTACTTCCCAAAGTCTGATGGGCACCATTCCGCATTGTTCCCCTGAGAATCCCGAGTTTGTGCAATGGAAGAATTAGCGTTGGCAGTTCGGAGATCAACTCAAGCATCCACATTGAGGAGAAATGCGACGGCTACCACTCAGGAAATCGATCATCCCGACATCCCTACATATGTCACTATCGTATAGGCCCAGCATTTAATCTGACATGCCTCAAATATTAAGTTGTAGAAACTGATTTCCGGCGTGGGCAATCATGCCACCAGAATAGCACATTGCAAAGCAGAACCCAACACACGTGCTAAAACTCCTTCCTCCAACTCTCCCAACCGGCCCCACTGAGAACGCGTCCTACTCAACCCGTGCAACACCTTCACTGTCAAAAGGCTTCAAAAACCTCTGAAGACCCCTAAAGACCTCCAGGCACCACTTCAAAACGAAACCAGCGATGGCAATATATCGAAAGCTCAACAGCAACCAACTCACCACACCCCACACGCCACAAAACGCACGAAATCTTCTCCACAGAACCTAATCCCCACGCACCCACAGTGCAATAAATTGAAGGGCAACTCACCGATGCAATACAACCACTAACAAAGCCTCTGTCAAATGCAGCCAAGTTCCAGCCTCGGTCCTCATTCGAAAAAAAAAGACCTCCAGCTCTCACACAGAACTCCAATAAGCTTGCTTCAAGCTTTCACAAGTACATCTACCGAGACAAGACCCAGCTCCGCAAAACACACACATACACACAACTGGCGCCGAGGATGAGCAATGAGAGCGAGCAAGGGCGATGGAGTGAATGCACTCACGATCAGCACCGCGTGTAGGGAGTGATCGCTGCGACAGCTCCACAAGCTACACAGGTGGATTCGTCCCACGCTTCAACAGTAGCCTGTGCGGTGAAAGGAGTCCGTTGGAGCGAGGGCGCGACATCTCCGGGTCGGGGAGAGAGGCGTGGATCCCTCAGTGCAGGTACCGATTCTCCCATTTCTCCCATTTCTCCCACCCTCTCAGTTACTTTCTCCGCACACATTGTGTTTTCGCTTTTCCATCTGCTGCTGCTGCTTCTCGCCGAAGCTTTCTTCCTTTCGTTATCCATCGGACGACCCAGTTTGCAGTGTTGGATGTTTTTGCACGAAATGGTTTTTTTACTGCGGTTTGGTTTTTCTTCTCTCTCTCGCTCTCTCTCTCCCGCGGCGAGGCAGAAAAGGACGGAGGAGTCAGGGGAGGCGGGGGACCATCCTCCTCTCGTGCGAGTGAGTGGCTTTCTTGGTCCATCCGTGAAAACCGAAGCCACGTTTCAAAGGCCGCACCGTCTCCATTGCTGCCTGCCTGCCTCATCATGCCACGCTCTCAACAGTCATCCCCGATCGCGGCGGTGGACTTATTATTTTTATTGTTATTATTGATGATGAATTTGGGTCCCTCCCTCCAAGCTTGGTTTGCCACCCCCATTTTCCAACCTATAAGGTGGGGTATTTCCATTAGTTTGGCAACCTATTGTCAACCAGGTCTGACATCCATTGGTTGGAAATAGGTTCGGAGTTAGTTAAAATGATGTTAAGCTATGATCAGAAATAGGTCGGAGTTAGTTAAAATGTGAGTAATAAATAAATTTTATTGTATTCAGAATGAGTATACATGAATTGATGGTATAAGTGGCAATTGTTGATTGGTTGCGGTGGAATAATATAACATAATTATATACTTATAATGTTGATATTGTTCATCCATGTGGATTAAAAACAGCAGTATTGAATGAATGGGGGAGAGCATCAAATTTGTAGATATAAGTAGGATTAGTATTGGAGGCCGCTTCTAAGCTATGTTGGAAGAAAGCACAATTTTGATGTATTAGTTTCTTTAGTCAGTGCTTGAAATACCTTGCCTACAACTTTTCTTAGAACATACATAATATTAAAAAAATAAATTACATGTTTTCAAGGCTTTTCATAAAATTGTTCTTCTGTTGAAATTTGCTTCAGAATTGCATGAATTCCAAAAATTCATGAACTCTGGATAAGCCACTCAAACATCCAAACCTTATGACATATTCTGTAAAATAATGATGAAACTTATATGGTTGTTTGCACATGTTAATATATATATATATATATGTGTGTGTGTGTGTGTGTGTGTGACATTGAACTGAGCTATAAACAAATCTGCAAAACTGATGTTCTTAGTAATATTGAAATACTTTGATTGTGTTTTGAAAATTTTGAAAATACTGCACTCATGTATATTAATGTATTGCAAGTTTAAAAATGTGATTATAAAAATACGGATTATTGGTAAAAATATTAACATATAAATTTACTCTAATTATCACAAAAGATAATTGTATAAATTTATTTTTACCTCTAAATTTACACAAACATATTTTTTACACACTTGCACACCTGAATTCATTTTCATTTATATTTACAGTTCTATCCCAATAAGTTTACTTTTCAAAATTATCAATCATATCATATGAACTGATGATACAATCATACTTATGTACCCTTTTCATCTCTTTCTATATATGTATATATATATATATATATATATGGGTATGTGTAGCTGTGGAAGGGGCACAATCATAATAAATTTAGCCAAAAATAACCAAACAAATTTATTTGTACATCATAATAATTTGAATCAATTGTGTAAGCATAATGCATACACCTCCATTTTTTTGTATTTTTTTCATCACTGAATATATATTTCAGTTCTCAGTTATTCACTATTATTATTATTATTATTATTATTATTATCCTATATTCCAAATTGGATATTTATTAAATACAACTAACCTCACACAATATTGAATTCATATGTGTACCATTACCTTGAAATTTCAAGACAAGACTAGCAAATCATGTTTTAAAGGTTTTAATAAGATTTCCAAGTAAAAAGAGTAAAACATGTGTTGTTTATACACAAGACGAAATATCAACAAATTAGTTAAAACCCTTTAAAAATAGAGTTTGGAAGTTTGCTTAAATACCCTAAAGTGGTATTGTACCACAATGACAACGTATGAATGCCATAGTATAATTTCTTCTTGAGTTTATAATTGTATTGGTTTTATCTTATTTTTGCCGTGTAATGTAAAGCAAATGTTTCCCATGCCTCATAAAGTTCATACTCAATGAATAATGGCACAATAATAAAATCTGCAAACCGCTACTTCTGATAATACAATATTTCTTCATCCAGTGCCCGTGGAGAAGTATGGACGTTTCATCCGCTTTTCGGATGAAATACATCCTTCCGGCTCCAGCTGTGAATGCGTGTTCTGTGTAAATAAATTATCACAAATGCATCAAGTGAAGTCAGAAAAGTCATTCTATAATATAAATGAATAGAATAAATAAATGAATAAAAATTAAAACAAAACTCATACTCATCATTAATTCACTCAAGAGTGGTCAATAAAAGACGGATTTCTTTTGTTATCATTTGTGAGTGAAATCATGACAATTTGAGAATTATTTGGACCCACAACTGACAAATAGTAAAAGGATCAATGTACATAAAAAATAAATAAATAAAAGAGAAAAAAAAGAAAGGAAGGACAATGAGAATTCAGAGATTCAGACCCTAATGTAAATAATTGAGTAAAACATGGCTTTTTGGGAGATAAATATGAAAAAAAATATATAAATAAATATATATATATATATATATACACGACAGATTTCCTTTGCTATCCTTTGCATAATGTAATAATAATATTAATAGTATTTGTATGTTAAAATTAAAACTTTGAAATACAAAACATTACAATGATGTGATATTTTTTTATTGATCAAAGCTCCCATTTTTTCATCTTGTAGAAGTGATCCTAAATTTAATGTATTGAATATCTTTGTGTGTACGTAAGCATGTAAATATAGAAAGGGCAGGGTTGCCAATCTTGGGCACCATGAGAGGATCAGCATGGACACCGCATGTCGGTGAAAATCCCGGAGCTCACTTGAGACGGGCGACCTGGCGGAGGCATCTGCATTTCACAGTTTAGCCTACGCAGCAGGAATTCTGAACACGGCACCTAAGCATCCGTCAATCAATCAGGCTCCAGTCCCAACGGCTCTGGAGCGAAGGGGCCTGGTGTCTGAATGCCCTGCGATTCGTCCGCTCCAGTTCGCAGCAGAGTATCCGGCGACACTTAGAAACGATGCTTCGGAGGCATACTTCGGGTAGATTCTTCCGTGGTTTGTCCGTATTCTAGGACACTGCGACGCATCTTTCTTCCGAAGGTTCGCCTCCGGTTGATCCAAGTTCAAGGTGATCCTGGTGGGAAAAAGGCTGCAGGGAACTACTTCGGGTATCATTTGCTGGTTGCCTTTTGGTTCATGACCTGAGTCGCGACATGGTTGGTTGGGATCAGGCCCTTGTGAGAGATCGGTGGACAGGAAATCTCTCGACAGGGGGGTGGGTTGATTGTAGAAACCGCCTGGTGTTCGTGAAGCTTGGTTTCTACGTTATTTTTTAACGTGTGAGTTACAAGTTGTGCTAAGTCTGTGGCGCAACTTGGCCTTTAGAGTGAAATTCCACCGCAAGTGTGTCCCCCGTAAGTGGCGGAACGTGTGCTAGAGTACTGAGGAAATGAACGAACAGAAGAGACGAAAGAAGGGTGCCCAAAACCATTTCAATTATCATACAGGTATTTTGGCAAAAATGGATCAGAAAACCTTGTCAACTTTGTAGTATCTAAAAACATAGCCGTAGTAAGGTCCCGGAGAGCCTTTCCGTAGCAGGGCCAGTTATGACATGGACCCTGATAACTCAAAACTTGAGGAAAGTATCTGTTGAGATGCAGCAGAGTCTGGCCACATGATGCTCCGTGGGCTGTAAAAGTGGTCCAGGTTTAGAGCTCGCTGCAGGCTTTCGTCAATTCTCAGTCACACTTGAATGGGTCTTGGGAACAAAAAAAAATGAGAGATGGTCGCCAAAGCGCTATAACGTGGTTTGTCAGCTTCCCTTGTGCAACTTCCGTACAGGATCAGTGGGTGGCGAGTTAGAAGTCTCTGGTGAGCACTTCCGCTTGGCTCGCCGAGGGTTGGGTTTCCCATTACCAGCACTGCAACGAGGACAAATATATTCCAGACCGTCCGTCTTTGCATAGTCCTGCATGGGATCAATTGCACTGTTCAGCATGCGAGAACCCACCAGTAAGGGAATTCAGGACTTACAACCTATATCCACAAAGAACCATTCAAGTTGGTTTTAAGATATGCCGAATATGTCGCAAGCTGCTAGCGTGGTTACCTTGAACGCTCCTAGTCCAGTTCGTTGATCGCACCCGAAATGGGCCCACTCACTGCAACTTCCACAGTTGACCCAGTCACCTTCAGCCCCACTGGAGAAACACACAGCATGAGCACGAGGTTCATGTATGTGAGTAAGAACAGGGAATCAATCCTAATTGCACGTCAGCGAGGCACAAACATGTACTCAGGAGGATCCATTTCCGAAATGGCACGTTTGTGTTAGATTTACTACTTCTATCTGACGATCAGTCAATACTTAAACCCAAGGTCCCCAAATCGAAAAACTCGGATTAAGCAGAGAGAACTCGAATAACAGCCAAAGTAGGGTTGATTTTCCGATTATTTCTTCTCACCTGTGGCAAATAATGCAGCAGTCGCCACCGACGTCATCGTGGGCCAGTTCGTATTCCAAGAGGTATACTTCATAATGCTTTTTTAGTGTGTTGCCAACACCCTGCGAGATTAGAGCAACCATGGACATCTGGCTTTCATTCAGTTAAGGATGAGGGAGACGTACGAATTAAACTAAAATTGTTGAATTTCGACCCTGAAGTTACTTCCATGAACAGAACAACACACTCAAGCAACACTTCGGTAAATCAAGGGTCGCACACCCTGCGGCTTACGAAAAAACGCTGAAGATGTACTAGAGATAATTAAATTAAGGCGAAGTTATTTCTCTATACAACAGCCACAAATATCAACGCTTATATCCACAACGGAAGGCAGAAGACGCACCGTCATTTTGTTCACTGATGTATGATTGCGCATCTTAGCAAAAATCTGCCCCTTCCAGTTGATGCCATTTCCAACATGAAAACCTCCTCTTGAAACTACCTGGAAATCCAAAGCATTATCGATACAGTATTCTCAAGATAAAAGACATATGTGAAGTAGTGAATTATTGCGAACAACTTACATAAGGGATGTAAGTTATTCCGCATTAAGATGAAGAAAATATAACATTTCGGTGAACATTTAAAAAGATAAAAAGATAATAAAAAAGACCTGGTTGCAAATAATTTTATATAAATCAAATACAACGGACACAAAAAAAGCAGGACTTGGTGCGCATTCCCGAAGTCAAGGAAAATACCTCTCTGTACAGGTTGTAGAGGTCGAGTCGTTTCCCATTCAAGACCACCTCAGGGAAGGCATCCACTCCGGCTGGTGGAATAAGACGACCATGACCTCTTGATTCCAGAAAACTCACAAGGTCTGCCAGAAACTCCTCCTGATGCATCCAAAAATTAAAAGTAGTTGCACAAAAATTCTCAGCGGGAATTGATGAATATTGGCTTCTTAGAAACTTTGACAGTATGTGAACAGCAGCGTGGTAGAAGTAAGTTGAATAAGCAACAGAAATTCATGTATCATACCTCTGTACATCGTTCCATATGAGGTCGTTTACAACCATGCGACTTGACGTTAAGCGGAGGTAAAAATGGAGCTGCGCCTCCTGCATTATGCCCAGCAGATCCGGGCATGAAGTACGCAGATCTTGGTCTTGCAGACTCGGGCCTTCTTTGCCTTCTTCGATCCACCCTGGTTCAATATTTAATTTAATTGTTTGTGGTTCACGCTACCATTTCCAAGTACCCGTAAAATTGGCGTTTCTTTAAGAACTGGTTAAATATTCAGACAAAGAGAAGAATTACATTTGACAGAATTACTAAGGTCAGACAGACGAATTTTCAAGGAAAGCTAGCTTCCTCAACTCTTCTGGTCTTCGCACAGAGAACTGAAATTTATAATGAAGAGTTGTCACTGACCTACTCGAAACGTCCAGTTTCATGGACCATCCAGCATGCTGAGCGGCCATTACAGCATTTGCAAAAGGCATAAATTTCCTTCTTCCCGTGTGTGGTAATGGTTTCATTGCAGCCAGTAACGCGATATTCCCTTGCTTGCTAGAAGAAGCTGTCAAGGAGTGCCAAGAATTCAATTATGAGTATTTAGTACATTATTTTCAGAAAGCGAAGGTACTAAGAAGCATAACATACTGCAAGAATTAAGCCATTTGTTAACACACCGCACCTTCTGACTGTTGGTAATTTATTAAAATTGGAATCATCATTGCATTTAAAGAGGATTGTAATTCATGGTGCGCAAGACTTACCCCCACCATTACTTGCTTTTGATGCTTTTCTGTCTTCCTCTGCAAAATTATCACTCGACTTCACAGACGGGAGTAATTTCAGCCTCTTGCGACTTGCAGCAGGAGGGGCTAACCATGGAGGTAGTGCCAAGTGATTACTCAACCTGTCATTGTCTGAAGCATCATTCCAAGTGCACTTTAAAGAAACTAAACGAGCAGCATCTTCTTCTTGAAATGCAGCTACGGGGGCTCCCTCTACACCAGCTATTCCCATAGCGACAAGACCACGATATGATGATTCAGCTGCCAATTGTCGTAATACCTGCACAAAAAGACTCGGAGTATAAGCAGATGAATCTTGCAATCTCTCAGCCAAGCACTTTAAAGAATCAAGTATTGAGACGCATATTTAACCTAGGCAGTCAGATTTCCAGAGCTAAAAGCCGATGGAACGTCCGAAAAGAATTCTGCAAAGTAAGTGGTTGTAATAGCATGCAAGACTTATGCATACAAGGTATCAAAAGCTTTGTTAACCTTCATATAAATCGAACACGTAATGATTAATCCGGTCGCAGGTGACAGACCTAACATGGATTACGTACCTGGCCGACCCAAGTAGGAGCCTTGATCCTAAGCTCAACAATAGAAGCACCACATGCCACAGATACAGATCTCCTCAAATTAAGATTCAAAGCTGGTCTTCGTGACTCATCCTCAACAACCACCTGGATATGTTCACATTTGTCCAGCATCTCTTTCTTGACGCTGTTTTCCAGTACCTGAAAGATTTCAAAACTTCTGTTGATACTTTACTCTGGACAGGTCATCACATGAGAAGCTTTAGAGAACATCTTAGACAACCTATGCAATAAGATACTCGGCCTTGTACACTCTAACCTGGTCATCAAAACAAGTTTGAGCAGCTCCAGAAACCAGAAGCGGAACCCGTGCGAAGGTGGAAGTGCAAACATCACACCGCATGGTTACAACTCCACGAAGTAACGATGTTGCAGCGATAGGTGGTGGTGGAGCACTACAAGAATAAAAAATAAAAAATAAAAACAAAAAAAACTCAGTCTCTACGTCTATACATTCTGCACTTATTTGTACAATGAAACTAGTGGTAACTAATCAAGAGTAACAAGCAACTATAGTTGCCTACTAATAGACCTTTGCACTACCAAAGATGTTCCTTTCAGGATTATGAAGTGCTCTACATTAAGTGACTTGTTTAGTTTTCTGTTCTTCATTTGATTAGGGCTACATCCTGCCAACCAGCATAAGTTGTTTTCATTCAGATCAACGAAATCCTTGTCACTTTCTTATACCGTTACCTACAAATGGTAGGTAGAAAACCAGAATCCTATTAATATCCTAGAAGTCACAAGGAACAGGTAACAAACCTGACACGATGCAAGAGTCTGGCTCCTTTAGCCTGATCACAGAATTCGAACAGGAGTAAGGATTGAGATTCGGAAGAGATAGAAAACATATGAAGAGGCAACAATTCCTAATGCATTACTACGCCCTTCAAAAAATAAAACAAGCTTCGCTTGATGTCTCAACAACAAAAGCAAATTCCTGGTTTATCTATGGATGGAACACATAAAGTTGGCAACGTACTTCTATAGTTAAGAGTGCACTTAGACCATCTTCGATGGCTCCAATCCAAGCGGAACTCTGCACACTCAAGTAAACAACGAAACAAATCATGAACAATGACGATATTAAGACATGGAATTCATTGTCTTCATTAAATCACCCTGTTACATTAAAACCAATCTAATCCATACATCCAGAGGTCTCGTTATAACCCTGATAGAGTTTTGAAGCATACAGGTCTGCTAGCTTCACAACAGACAAGAAGTCGAATACTGTGGTTCTCGTCATAAATCTGGACGGGTGCCGTATCAGAGCTGATTGGCTCGTTGCCATTTTCCTCGCCTGAAGAGTCGGACATTCGGTCCTCTGAGACTTTCGACAAAGGAACTTCTAGTAGCACGGGTATCACACTAATTGTTTTCTCAAGTCCATTGACACTGGCAGATTTTGTCTGCCCACAATGCATTTGGAATGAAGCCGAAGCTATTTGAAATGCATCCTTAGCTCCTGTCGCACAACTGTTTGGAGAAATGAACAAAGAAAGAATCAGATGTATTTTGACTCCTTCCAAGCACAATCACTGATAATGTACTCAAAACGGTCAACAAGAGGAGGAAAAAAATCTATGTTGCCCGACAGAATTCACAAAATCTAAACTTCCTGGACAAATAATTACCTTCTTAAGGTCGCCAGTAGAGCTCGGCGGAAGTGGGTTGCTAGAGAAAATGTCGGTGACCCTTTCCAACATATGACGTGCGGTACACGCTGTACTCCGCAGCGAACACATACAACAATTAAATTCTGATAAATTCTCTATTGAAGACAAGAGCTTCAAAAGAGAAAAACCGTAATGTACGGTTTGAGCTTAGACAGTTTCGTACAATGCTATCATGCTATCATACCTTACTCAGGACCTTTGTTAGAGAATACCTGAGAACGCAGCAATTCAGCCAATCTCATGCCAGAAGTCTCTAGGTACACCTGGAGGCAAGACGCGACCAGAATCAAAACCACAATTCTATATTTCATGAACTCAAGTGATTTATGGTGAATACACCAAGATATTAGAAGACAATATCTCCTTAAACAGCCTACACTTAAAGATATAGCGGCCTCCTCAATATTCATTTATATCCCCAAAGGAGACTAGGCTTGGGTAACATAGGCATCATTGAGTTCCGACAGAATGAACCTGCAAGATACGAAACAAGGAAAAACTCCATTGTCGCACTAACCAGCTCTGGGATCTTTGCACTTATGTATGGACTGAGAAATTCTGAAGAAATCACTTTGTCATCTCTTGAGACGAGATCACCAATTACATCTTTTTCAAAGCCTAGCTCTCCGTGAAGCATAAGAATATCAGGCCGTAGTTTCTCAAGTTTCCGCCCAAGTTCCTCGCTCGAGGGACTCTCTAAGATGTGAACCTACACAATGCCAGTTGTATTTTGTTAACACAAGTACCCTAACGCCAGAAATTCACAAATTCCACGCCATGAACCAAAATAAAACTCATTACCGCGTGAACAGGCTAAGCTACTTCCACACTCACATAAAATCAAAGCCTTGTCTATGTGAAGAGATGCAACTTTTAATCCAGCTTTGCCAATGCCATATGATTCTATGCTCAGCAAACCAGTTCCTGAAAAGAAAAGACAAAGCTTTCTTGGCTACACGTTGCAACTTTATCATGGGATTTAATGTTCCAACTCAGATGAATTAAACAGAATGCATATTATGACCTAAAAGAGCATCACCACTGAATGCATCCATGTATTTTTTAATCCATATTTAAAAAACCAAGAATACCGCGATTACAGATTGTTCAGAGGTTTAGAGAACACATAAAGGTTCGAAAATTGGGCCATGGCAGCAACCATATTCACATTAGAGAGGATCGCATTAACTACCTCCAGATATCCAGTCTTCTTCAAGTCTTCGTAATCGATTGGTACAATCCCGCCATCATTTCTTTCAAGACGTTGACTTCCCCTCTCCTTGTTATTGATCTCCACACCCTGCTCTGAAAGGTTACTTTGCGTGACATGTTTGCCGCAAATCACAGCAAGTAAAGTGCGGATTGTACGAGAGCTCTTCGTGACCCTGGGTAACCCGGCAGTGGAATTGCGCAGCATCTTGCACAACTTCGAATTTCTATGGACTAAACGGAAACTGACAAAAAATCCTGATCACTCCACAAGTATTTTCGACAGAACTGAATGCAGCGAACCTTAACCCCAACAGCCCAAGATATTCAGCCCCAAGAGGCTTTCTGCTTCAGAAATAAGAGCATGCTGTTCCCACTAACCCGGCCCTCGTAAACAAAAAATAGCAACGTAATATAATGAAATACAGCCCACGGTTGGGTTGGGCAGTTAGGCATTGATGCTCGAACTATGGTAAAAGCCCCAAATCGCAACGGAGACTGAGTAAACAATTCTCGGCAATTTTTATTTGTCATACCCAGCAAGCAAGGCTCTCGACGACTTCGCTTGAAGGGAACGGACAATGCAACCTAAACTATCGTCTCTTAAGGGAAACACCAACACCACCATTGACGCGTTACTCGCTTCTACGAACTGAAAGCGTCTCATTCTGCCGTACAGGTCCCAGAGAGGAACCTGAGCATATCCCAGAGTTGGCGAAAATCAAAATCCTCAACCAGCAGAATCCCACACTCTCCTCACACCCAACCCGCAACTCAAAATGAAGTCCAACAAAATTCGCTGCGACAGATTCTCAATGCATGCACCATGGCGCCCCTGACACCATCCAACAATCCCTCCACCCTCGAGCCCGCAGGAAACCCTGGATTGAAACCCTAGCAGGCGCGATACCGCACCGGTTACAAACACGGGCTTTAAATTCAACAAAAGATTAAAAGGGGGGACAAAAGTTGGAAGCTTTGGCCGATGCGTCAACGATTGTCGGGCACACGTACGCCCTCCTCGGCAAGTAAAAGGAGCACCCGAGGGGACAGTCGCTGGATGCGTGAGAATATTAGAGGCTGATGTACCCATCGAGAGAATCCGGTACAAAAGGGCTGGTTGGTTTGCTGGCCTATCTCGCCTCAAATCTCACTGCTCACCCATTTATAAGGCTACCACCCAAATTCGTTTCTTTCTAACCAAGTGTGACTCACTCTCTCAGTCACTCACGTAGCGTGGGCTGCCAAGTCCGATTTGCCTGCTAAGGCGTGATGAGAGACACTTGTGGTTCATCAGGGTCGTTGTCGTCCCCCACCCATCCACCACTTGGGATTGGAAATTTGACCCCATCAACCAGGACAGACAATCGGTCGGGCCCTCCAGCACCGCCTGCTCCCCTAAAACTGGTATAAATCATGTGATGAATTTGAATCAATCCGATCAGATGATGTTGTTTCACATCTGAAACTATTTCGCCCACCCTTCCCAGTTTCCACGCCCTCAACAACCAGTCCCGATTGGTCTCTCTCTCTCGCTCTCTCGCTCTCGTCTCCCTGAGGACATGTCAGCTCTGTAGCATTTAAGGTTAAACCCCCGCAAGGATAGCAAAACGAGCAGGCAATTTCTAGTACCACGTGGGATCCACATTGTCACACATCTGATCTCACAAATGCTTCTTTAGTGGGTAAGCTTTGAACTGCTGGGAATTTTGTGGTTGTAACAAAACATTGATGGTTTCGTTGGGTTTTGGATCAATACGTCGAGTATTTGGACCTTGATCGTCCAATTCTGCAATTCCAGTACCTGGTGTGCAGGGCGTCTCTGCCTGCTTGCCATTCGTTCATCCGAAATTCCCGTCAATAGAGTAAATTGTAGCAAGTATAGAAAGAATTGTTGTAGCGATTATTACTTGAAATTTGTATGTGTTGATGGTCGATATTCGGTCTAGTGGCGACACGGCATCATGCGTTGTGAAAGTATATTAGAGGAGAGCAATTTATTGGTTTCATTACAGTGTCGGTTCTATGGCAAAATATATTAACCACCCTGAGAGGTTTTTGGCTTTGGACTTCATGCTGTGGGAAGAATTTGGACAGGTGATGTTGTTTCGGCCCTTTCGGCTACGTACATTGGGTGTGCGCTTCCCGGCGTCCCATCGTTTCATTGGTTTTCTCTCACAATTTGATGTTCAATTAATTGACTTACCCGCCTGCATGCGTAATTCTGAATCTTGAGTAAACATTTCCCGCTTGCGCTTTACATAATTCCTTGGTCTATTTAACTACAATCGGAAGTATTTAAGTGGAATTAATGTCTTAACAGTAAGACTATCCCGGTTCCGAAACTGTGAGCCGGACAGAGAGACGTGTTTCTAAAGCCTTCATCACAGGTAAGTTATTATCAAGGCTCACTCTCGGAAGCTGTGCGTCACACGTATCATGTAAAGTAAATTTCAACAGAAAAACGGGTGATATGACGTACTTCATTTGTTACTCAAATGAAAGGTCGTGGGCAAACAATTAAATTCCACCTTTTATGCATCCAACCACCGATCACTTCCTGCTTCGTAAACTCCTACATAACCTTCGCTCAGTACACCAAAGTCTATTGCAATCTAACCAGAGAAGACAATCAAAACCTCGCTCTGGAAGTTGTGCTCAAAGAAAGGCTTGATTCACTTTCGATAATCCATTTACTACGACCTCCACCACATCAAGATTATTCTCTAAAATCGAGTTGGGTGTTTCAATGTCGGCGTTCACTTCAGCATTTACGAGCTCATCATGGGCCGAGTTGGGACCAAATCCATACCTGAGTAATTGAGAAGGTGCTAGAGGTTGTAAATCGGGTGAGAGCTCGGTTTCTGATTTGATTTCCTCATGTTATCGAACAATGTAATAACTCCTCTAGCCCACTAGTCTGGCCGCTGGCTTCATGTTGTGGCCTCTTGTGATCCACTGCAAAATCCCGAGGATTCATTTATGTTGGCACGAAAATTTCTACGGTGATTCTGAAGGTCATAATACTTGCACACTGTAAGCTCAAATGAAAAGCTTCACGTGCAACAAATACATCAAAATTTGAATCCATGGAAAAGAGAGCGGAAAGTTTCTTACTCTCAGGGAGCATATCCGTTACACCTTCGCGATTAAATTAGATTCCACAAATATCTGCAGGACCTTGACCTCTCCTACCCCGAAGAAGGAAAACTGTTGCCGTTCCGGAACATCAGCTACACTCCGATCATGACCGTCTGAGATTCTGCACCACATCAATCAGTCAAGGTAAGACAAGCCAATTCGGTGACCATTAACCTCAACAAACCGTCTTCTGAGGAATCAAACGCAAAATCCAGCCCTCCTGAAGAACAAGAAGGATATTCAACATCATATTATACACATCTGTCTCTTGGCTTTCCTTAATTGCGAAGTTTCTCATGAACAACGCGGACCTGTTTTCGTCTCTCCCTGCAACCTCCGAGGACGTTTACTCAGCGCTGTCACGTTCTACTTTTGCCTTTCCTTTAATCGCACCCCAAGGTTCATCCGAGTCAGTGGTCTGGCGACCCTCCTCTTCTGTAATCGCCAGACATGAAAGTGAAATCCTAATCTCCATGAAGACTAAAGAACTGAAAAGCATCTATTGCAAACAACTCCATCAACCCATACATAGTTTCAAATGTTTGTAGTGCATGCACGTAGGTAAAGGAGATAGTTCTTTCAGTATCTTCAAAAAGGATTTACCAGTAAGTGATGTGCACAGAACGTTTCTTGTGAAGAATCCAACTAATGCAAAATCATGACCACAACATTTCATGGTCTTCCTGATTCCAAGCTTTGTTTCTCCTTCACCCCGTTCTCAGCCGCCTGAGCTCGAAGTACAAGAATCATGCGCTGGGTATCATCTCCGCTGTCTGGCATATCTCAAGACAAAGTAAACCTTTCTCCCTTCTCCTGCTTACTCATGATACAAAGCTCGTGCCTGGCAATATAGATACAGTAATCTGAAAATACTACATAATAACCAACTCTGAAGAGAAATTGTGCACCGCCACCTCCATTACCATCCTCGCACATCCCATTCCACCGCACCCACCAAAGAAAACCTAAAAAGCGGCACCGGGCAACTCCATTATGGACACCCATTGCTGTGAGGACTGGTACCCAATGCTCGTAGCATCGCCATACTCGGCAGGAGTGCAGAGTAATAAGCAACAGAGACTTGACCTTTGCAACTATCTCATCAGAACATAAGTCATTTCTTCACGCACAAGCTGAACTGAAAATGTTGCTGGAACCAATCAAGCATCATGATAATATTGTCCTCAACAACCATGTCGCCTTCATCCGATGCCTTTCTTTCTCACATAGAATCATCACTCATATTAACTCATCACAATAACACAACAACTCTCATAAAACTCATCGCAACAACACACTCACAGTACTACCCACAATCACAATGACACTCACAGCACTAATCACAACCACAACAAAGCTTACAAAAATTCATCACAACAATAACAATAGCAACAAAGCTCACAACACACTTATCACAACCACAACAAAGCTTACAAAAACTCATCACAACAACACTCACAAATCTTACCACAGCCACAATAATACTAAAAAAACACTTTCAAAAATCCACAACAAATCTCACTACACTTATCACAAGTACATTCACAAAGCTTTCCACAACCACCATGAAACTCACATCGAAGGTGATGAACCGATTTCATCAAGTTTTCATTTTTGTTGTCCTATATGGTAAAGCATAGATTTTGATAATGAAATTGATAATGTGTGTGCTTTTTTATCAATCGCATTTTAATAATGTTTCATTGAAATTTTATTGAAAAAAAACTGATGCGGTATTAAAACTAACTATTAAAGTTTTCAATAAGCCACTCATTTGGGTAGTTCAAAACGAGAAAATGAACTACAATTGTCAATTCTCCAGGTGATCATTTCTTTTCTAATGAATTAAAAAAATCACATTTTCACTTGTTCAAGATTTAATTACCAAATATTTGCATATGTGAATGTAATATTCTGTTTTTGATACTGATATAAAGGTGGTATCACTAGCTTGAGAAGAAGAAAAATAAAATAAAAATGTAATAAAATAAAAATCTAAATCTGTACAAGAATAAATATTTGGGTAGCCTCAAGCTTGATGCTTATGAAAAACAGAGAAATAGAGATTCTTCTGTTTCAAGTTTACTAGTTAAAGAATAATTATTCTAAAACCTTGTCATTAACAACAAGGATATGTTTTTAAAATTTTGACATCTCATTAAACATAACTTTTAATAGTTAATTTTTTTAAAGTAATGGTTGAAAAATAAGATATGCAAGAATATTAAAATATTTTATGCAATGTTTCTGTCCAGTGATACAAAGAGTTGAAATTCCAAATATTAACAGTCAATTCCAGATTGTATTCATGAGACGCTGCTGCCACTGAATGTTTGTTCGAAAAAAAAAAAAAAAAAAAAAAAAAAGGCAACCAGATAGGATTGTGTGTTGATTTATGTATTTATTTTTCTCTCACAGTGACTGCAACAATAATCGATCCTTTCAAAAGTCCTTCAGTCAATCATTCCACTCACATGAACAAAAGAGAGCCTGCAAATCATTGAGCCACAAATTGACAAGCAAGCCTTTGTACTTACAGACTGTGATCAAGCTTTTTAACCTAAAATCATTAAAAAACCCCACGATAAAGTACAATACATATATATATATATATATATATATATGAATCATGCGAATATCTTGCGCTATGTGGTATGAAAGTCACGATGCGAAGGCATCTTCTACGTCGTTTGCCGAGTCACGGCCGAAGCTCACTCTGCCTTCCAAATGATGTGCTGCTCGAAAAAGCTGCAAATCCAGCAGCAAAAATATAACTTTTACTACTGATGCCATGTTCCAAGTGCAGAAAGGTGGTCCACCGGCGCACACCAAAACCCATGAGAGAGAGATGAAACTTCACAGTCAAGCACAGAATCGTGTGAGAAAGAGCGAGAAATCGAAGAGGCAGCAGCAGCAGCATCTCAGTACACATCGATATGGCTGTCGGTATATTGACCTCGGGAAGGGGGAAACCCTCCCCTCCCCACCCCCACTTTTCGATGATATTTGAATGCCGCGCAGGGCACGGCGGAGATACCGTGGGCTCCAGGATCCCTCGGCCCCATCGTAAGGATTCTCGTCAAATCACTAACCACAAGCCCATCCGATTACGTGCAATTTCGCGCCTGCAAGTATACTAATCGGTACACTCGTAATTCAATATTCACAGCTTCGCTGGCTATGGATTAGCGCCTCGGGGTTAACACCGCTTGCCCCCCAACTTAATGAGCCGAGTGTTTTTTTTTTTTTTTTTTTTTTTTTTAAAATCTTTTGTTTTTATTTTTTATTTTTTATGGGTGGGTGCTGTCTGTAAGCTCAGCAGCATCGTCGTCGTTGTGTGCCCAATGCTTGTTTAGCGAAATCAAAGCTGGTGTGCTTCCCACGGTTGTGTACTGAGCTCACCAGAAAAAAATGAGGCTGTGCATCTGTGCATCCCTGTGAATGTGAAGCGATGAAGCTGTTGTTGGCATCCCCGGGAGGATTGATTATGTGTGATGAGAGCCTGCTCGCCCACGAGTTTCCTTTCTCTTGTTGTATGCATTGCTCACGGTCGCAGACTGGCGGCGCCTTGTGAAAGTCCAAGGTTTCCACCCTTTGACCTGGTCTCCCCGCCGAATTCCTGCCCGTTTAACGTGTATTCCTCGTGCACCAGTGCACCGAGCTCAGCATCTCCTGGATCCTTCGTTCCGGCCGCCCATCTTGGTTTTTTTTTACCGTGCACATGGTATAATTTTAGTGTTTCTGGATTGTCGAGGTCTTTTTCGGGTGCAGGGAGTGGGAAGTGAGGCGGAAGGTTTAGACCTGTCAGTTTTAGCGAGCGACTTCGGGAGACTGTTGTGTGTGTGTGTGTGTGTGTGTGTGTGTTTGTTTTATTTTATTTTTTGGAATTAGTGATGAGGTAATTTTTCTGCTGTTGCGGGCGCGAGTTCGGAGTATCAGGCGGGAGAGCTTCAGCTAGGTAGGAATCTCTGGGAGTGTCAGCTTCGGGCGTGGGAACCTCTCTCGCAGGCTGTTGACCCCTTGGGTGCGAATTGGTTGAACTGCAAGTTGGCTTGTGGAGCCATGGAGAGGGCGACGACGTCACCATGTTGTTGCAGGAACCTCTAAGGTGAAGTTGCACCACAAGGTTGAAGAGGGTAAGCCTTGCGTGTGCCCTAGTGTAGTGGAGAATGAAGGGATTAGAACATAGTACAAGCCGGAAGTGGTCTCGTCGTGAAGAGATGTTAGAGGAGGAAGATGAGGAGCTGCCGGTAATGAGTAAGGCTATGGTGGCGAGGCGAAAGTGGTTACAATGGCGGTGGTGTGGGCTGAACGTTTTCGTATTGGTAATCTTCATGGCTGTGGCGCTTGTTACTGAAGTGAGTGCAAGCGAGGGTGTTGAGCAGTTGTCTGCACGAGTGGAGAATTTGGGTGAGACTGCAGTACCGAAGGCCATGGCAGGACGTTACAGTACTGTCGAAATTAATTCTTGGATCCCCATATTATCTTTTTGCTTCGTGTTCGTTGTTGGCGTGAGCACCGGGCTCTGGTGGAGTGGTTTCCACATAATCCCAAGGGCGGAGACAGCTGAACCTTCGTCTTCTTCGCCACCGTCGTCTTCTTCCCTGGGGGAACTGCGCAACCGGCAGATCGCTCGGGCGAGCTCGGTAGGCACGTTGCGGCAGTTTAAGCTGGCTGAGCTAGTGGAGATGACGGATCACTTCAAGGAGCCGATTGGGCGAGGCGGCCAAGGCACAGTGTACTCTGCTCATCTGCCTGAGGGCTGCAGCAAGGCCGCAGTGAAGAAACTGCAAAAGCATGAAGCGAATCTTATGCTCCGCGACAATGTGGTGAGCGACCATAACCAAGAGGAAATGGAAAGGGCATTTTGGGAGGAGCTCAAAATAATCTCCAAGCTCCACCATCGCAACCTTGTGGCTCTTTTAGGCTACTGCGTCGAAAAGGACGACTTGTTTCTGGTGTATGAATTCATGGGCAAAGGCTCCCTCAGCCAATACCTACACCCCAAAACCAAGGCAGAAGAGAAGAGCCTGAGCTGGAAGGAGCGTATGCAATGCGCAGTTGATGTAGCGCAGGGTTTGGAATATCTTCACAACCACGCAAATCCTTCTCTCGTGCACCGGGACATCAAATCTGCCAACATTCTCTTCGATGATGAAATGAATGCTAAGATTGCAGATTTTGGGTTGAGTAAGCCTGTTATACTGGAACAAGAGGCAAGCATGTCGATTCGACTGCGAGGCACTTATGGATACGTGTAAGTGTATCGAGAAAGCCCTATTGATGTTCAGTGTTTTTCGGTTGAATGAGCTTGACGGAAGCTTGCAGAATTTGTTTCAGATCACTCATAGAGACCTTAATCAATGCGGTGTAACGCAGTGATCCTGTGTATTTGCTAAACGGCCGACCCTGTGCCAAGAACGACGTGTACAGCTACGGCGTGGTACTGTTGGAGCTTATTACAGGTCGGCGTGCCCTTGAGAACAAAGGCAATGTGAACTTGGTACAATGGGTCAAAGAGTCTCTAGGCACACATGATATTCCGATGCGTCAAATTTCGCGCATTGTTGACCCCCAGATAGCCCTGGACATCCTTTACGACCAGTTCTCTGAGGTTGTGAAGCTGGCCCTAAGCTGCGTCCATGAGAGGCAGGATAGCCGGCCCAGCATGCAAGATGTGGTTGCTGGATTGTATAATGCCAAGGCCATAGAGGACGCCCAAAGCACCGAGTCTCCTCTTGCTCATGTAAAGACTATTCTTCGTCTCTGCGTTGAACGGCCTACTTCCATTGATCCTACCGAGCTTTTGTGAGATACCAACATAATTAGGAGAACCCTCTACTCTTATTAACGCCAGTCTGTGAAATTGCAGGTATTGCCTATGAGTCGCAATGGTGGCTCTGTTTATGATGGTAGTTCGATGGGGACTCCGCGAACGCACGCGCTGCACGACTGGTACGCTTGCCTTCTTGTAATAGCAAGCAATTCTTGCACCTATTAACATGTTATTATTCTGAAATGACACTTTTTTATCAGATTATTGCATCTTGCTAATGGACATCTTATCTGCAACCGAGACTCAGCCCCACTTGTGTGTGTCTCCTCCAATTTATGTTTGTGCAGGTCATCATCTTATGAGATAAAGGACAACAGCATCCTCGTCAAATGCACCATCGCAGGTTTCAGAATCATGTTGAGATGTAAGATATGGCCATCCCTCAAGAACTTTGGGTTGAACAAGGTGGAGGCTTCATTGAACGATGCGTTTCTCTGGAAAAAGGGCCTCTGGTTCTACAATGCAAAGAGCACTCGTGAGTTCACAGTTGGTGATGATATCAAGGTGATCGCTGAGTGGCATGTCGCACTAAGAACCGGATATTACAATCTGCCTGCTAACGATCCAAGAAGAAGTCAAGGCCCTTTCTGCGTCGAGTACTTAGCTCTTAAGGATGTGAACGGTCCTTTGGTTGAATACCTTGGTGACAAGTCACCATGGCCGGAACCCGTGGTAATCAATCCATTTAATTTCAATATCAAAAGCGTTTCTGTATCAGTTGTATCCTGTCGATGATGATGATGCCTACGGCACTCTCTTCATTCCATGTTCCCCTTTCCTTGTGGTACATTATCGGTGGCGAGGTTAGGGGGTTTACTATCTCGCTAATTGCTAATGAAGTGCTGATTATGTGGCATTGACAGCCCCAAGAACGGAGGCCGAGGAGGGAGAGTAGTGGGGGGTCTGGTTCCGGCTCAGTAGAACGTCGGAGGAGTAGTGGCCATCACAGGCGTCCCAGTTAACACCCTTGCATTGTTTTTTGATGCACCCTGAAGCCCCAACTTCCAGAGCCTTACTACTATGTTCACGTATGGCGCTGCTCTTGAGCTTTGTCAGCGCTTCTGACCTTACAGTGAGGATTCACGATTCTCAATCTCGTTAGTTGACACGGTAGAGCTGGTGACTATTATTGTATATTTCGGAGATGTAACATTACACATTTATTTCATCAGTGGGTTTCAAGGTATTCGACACTGTTATTGAAAGTCATCGCTAATTTATCTTACTTCATTTGAGACCGAAAATATTTTTAAGAGTATAAAGAAATTTTGTGAACTTCACTCTGTACGATCTGCTTGATTCAGGTCAAATGCTGAAGCGTTCGGAAATAGAGTCCATAGCTAGAGTTCTCACTTTTTGTATTGGATGTGCCTTACCAGGTCAGAATGTGGATGAGAGAAGATGCAACCACGCAGGACATCTACTTCAGATACTGTGCATAATTTATTTGCGCTTAGAGTTTGCAGACCGGTGGATTGTCGATTTTGAAACTAAAGCATATGTTGACCAATTTTTTAAACGCTAGCTGATAATCAGCTACAGATCTCCACTTTGAAATTTATGTGTAAAACTGGTTTTCTTCGAGAATGAAATGTTACTCTTGCTTGAATTATTTATCGCGTTGCTGCACTCCACATGAAGCTGTTTTCAGTGAGCATGATATCTGAATATTGCTCGATTCATTCATTAATGCACCGAAAATCAAACGATAATCATGCACCCTAAGAATCTACTTGAGGTGGATACGGAGTGTGACATAGAACAATTATCATAATAACTGAACTCCTCCGATCGTAACCAATTGGCATAGATCAAATAGATTCGCTTGTATATTAGGTGTAACATCAATTTAGAATCTCAGCATATCTCTTCATAGAATATGATTGACATCGCAATTGTTGAGCATATCGGTAGGCAATCTAACCATTTCAATAATCCTAAACCAAATTGCCATCCATGACACAATCGCATGTTGAAAAAAATCTTATTTAGACTGAAATAGTAAGCAAACATGTTGATTTCATATGAGAAACCAAATCACTGGGGTTCAAAAGTCTGAGAAGAAATATACAATATTCGAAAACTTCACCGAGTCAAAAGGCTGTACAAACTCTTACAGTTGCAATAGCCTGTTGACAGGACGTCCAGAAAAGATTCTCAACACATTACATAATGAGCACAGTAAAAGACAATTAATAGAGTCCAAGGATTGTAACATGCAACCCATACATAAATCCTGAAAACCCTGAGATGCTGGACACGAAGGTGACCCCTGTTTTACTATTCCTCTTCCATTGCATCACCTTCCAGAACTTGTACGTGTTGTCGTAGCTGCGTGATTTTGGTCGATAGAACAGCTGTCACAGAATCAACAATATTTCAATTTAGATTTCAAATAACCCTAAACGCTTTCAGAAATTAAACCGGCAGGTTAATCGTAAGCCACTGCAATGACGTACCAGTATGTCCAATCTTGAAATCATAGCCCTTGGAACGAGAGTAGCTGCGAGGATTAGGCTGCTGGTAATTGCGCAGATATTCCTTTCCTTCCTGTGAGAATGACGCAGCCATTAGAAAAGCGTTTAAATTGCACTCAACTCTGAGAGGTGAATGCTAGTAAAAAAGGAAGAGATAGCAAAGTTTGAAGCAGAACTTGCCTTGGTTATGATGCATAGGTCCACATTACTACCACTTCCAAGATCGTTGAAGATACCAGCACAAATTGCAGCAGACACGATCTCCATTCCCTCTTCTTTCTGTGATTCAGAATACATGGTAACAGACACCCAAAATACGTGCATTAATTAACATATTGCCGAGATTCAGAGTCGATTCAACTTCGCTGGGCAATGTTAATTACCAGCATCTATATGCTAAAGGGTAATTGGACTCTATTCTTTTGTGAACGTGAACTTGCACTGAAAATCTTCCAAGCTACCCAAATAATAAGTTCCTTCTGTAGTCGGTTGATAAGTTCAAATATTTTGTATTTCAATAAGTAGAGAAAGATTTACCGTCAAGTTTTCCTTGTATCTGGATTCAAATACAGACATGGCAGCCAGTGAACCTGAACCCATTGTGGCAAATGGAAGGGTGTCTGTTGATCCATGTGGATAAACCTGAAAAAATCATGCCTCTCGACATCACACTTTCGTTACTGAACGGAAATGTTAACTTTGCTGACAAAGAATCAGCACTCAAAACCTAAGCAATCTGGAATCCGTATTAAAAATAAAAAATAAAAAAAAATAAAAAAAGAAACAGATAGAGCAGCTGATAGACCTAAGATATGGCTGAGATACACACCGCATGAAGGTGAGGTCCAGTGACATCCACGCCCCCAAGAACTAGAGCTGCGCTAACTTGACCTTGGTATCTGCAACAAGGGATTCACAATCCGTGATACACGAATCAAAGATCAGACAAACGTACCTGATGCTGTTCAAAGGTCTACTACTGTAGCATGGCAGCAAGTATTGCCCCAAAGACAGATTACAAACTTACACGACATGCTCAATAAAATAAACCTTCGTTAACTAGAAAATACCATGCGGTGTTTCGTGCAATCAAAGGCAGCACTATAAGAAGTTGTACCGGAAAAGGTGAGATTTAAGCATTGTCAATGCCGTTACAACGCGAGACTCTCTTCCAGTGGCATATCGATGCAGTACCAGCTGGGAACTCACCATATCTACAGACAGACAAGCGATCTTGTTCAGACTATCATGTAGTAGGAGTCATAAAGAACAAATCTTCGAGCCCGTACACCTGATTATGTTGAATAATTAAGCGAACCCCAGTCAAATGAAAGCCGAGCAATCCAAATGTTCAGGGTGCAAACTGAGGAATCACTGGGCACCTTGCCATCGGTTTCACACGGCAAACTCCGAGACAGATAAAATCACAAAAAAATCAAAACCCTAGAAACCTTAAAAGAGCACGCATGAATAACCAAGGAATCGAGAAGAAGCAGACCTGTGACATTTTCAGTATCGGCCGCTGTACCGGCTCCGCAGCAAGAGATATTTGGCGCAAGGTAGTGGATCTTCTCACAATTTTTATCACAAACAATTTCTCCCTCTGTTGCTCGCGTATCAGCTCCCAAAATGACTCCATCCTGACACGAACCGCAAGGTGAGGTATATAAATCGAAACCCTAGAAACAGTCAAAAAAAAAAAAAAAAAAAAAAACGCAAAAAGAGACACCAGGATAAACCGTTTGATGAAAGCACAACCTTAAAAATGAGGCCGACAATGGTAGTTCCCGTCTTGCGGAATTTCGGAAGCTTAGCGCCTTGTTGCTGCAGCATAGTGTTGCGACGACACAAATCGAAGGTGAAACCCCCTTTGGGCGGCACCTCCATCACGTTGGATTTCGTCATAGCGACAAAGCACGACAAAGCACGATAAATGGATTTGCTTCCGTTTTCCTCTCGATCTCGATTGCACTGAATCACAATCAGCTCCCGAGCTCTGGAATGAAAATCTAGAGTAACCTCGGCGATTGCAAGTGATGGTGTCCAGCACAACCGACGAGCTTGGCCACGAGGCCCAAAACAAACCTTGCGAACGAAGGCACAACCTCGCGAAACCCTAACACACCATTATTTATAATTTATTATTGTTATTGTTATTAGTGTTGTTGTTATTTACTGAAGGGAGGAGGGGGAACCGCTCTTGGCCATCGTTCTTCAGCCTCATTCATTCGCTAATCACTCTCGCAAATTGGTTTAGTTAGTGATTTAATGAGTTTCACACTTGATTAGTGGAATCATTATTGAATTGGAATTACTGGTAAATACCCACCAGCCAAATCATTACTATCTAATCGTGATTATTGGGAAAGTTATTTAAGAATTTCAGATGTTACATATTTCTAAGAAAGCATAATCATATATTTATAACCAACAATTTTATCAATGAGGTTGAAATTGTATAAATATGTATATATATAGTATGATAAATTAAAGGGTGTGTCGTTGTAACAGTTTTTTTCCTGTAATTTTCCCAATGCTAACCCTCTGTCTCTTTCAAATATCAAGGAAAATGAAACGAAATTACATTCTATTTAATGTGTTAGCCAAATATTAGTCTTTAAGATTTCAGATCTATAACAATCTGTTAAATTTGAAATTTACTCAATATTTCCTAATATATATTTTAAAAATAATAAATCATAATGAAAGGAAGAATTTCAACAATGGTACATAGTAAATATACTATATTTTTATTATATATAATTTTAATAAAAAATCTAATTATTGAAACCTATGATGTATTTATAAAATACTATAAATAGTTTTGTAATCTTACAAGTTACATCCATCCTTCTAATCAGAACCATATTCTTCAATTTGCTATAGAAATCAATGTTGTAGAAAACCACTTCAGAAGAACTTCTGCCATGGTTTACATAAATCACTAGAAAGAAAACTTTTAAACTATTTTTTTTTTTTTCTTTTTACCAAATTCAGAAATTGTAATACATTCATTTGAATTGTTTTCAGTAGTATTGCAATCTAACAATTTTGAATGCAATTCTACCAATAGAGTTTCTACTACATAAAAAAAGAAAAAAAAGAAAAAAAAAGAAAGAGAGATTTTAAAAATCAATTTTTTAATAAAAATTTTCAAAAAAAAGTTGTAAATTAAATGAAAGAATAAATAAAAAAATAGAATCTTTCTTTCTTAAATTTCTTCTTCATGTTATGTAGTTTAAACTACATCACTATTAAACAAAACAAGAGATTTGGACAAATACTACATATAAGTCTAAACTTTTGATCAACTTTTTCAAAGTTAAAATAAAATTCACTCAAGTCTTTAAGACCTTATAAAAAATAGTTACATCTTAATATATGGAAGAGTTTCTAAATTTTAAAATTATATCACAAGCGACATTTTTTTAATTCAAATATAGAAAACATCTTGTTGAATGTAATTATATTTAATCTTAAATCTATATATAATTAAATTATTATATTTATATTAATATGTTTTATATTTAAATTAATTAAATAAAGAATAAGAGTTGAAAAATGAATATACATATAATATAGTGTTATATAAAAAAACCTTGTAAATAATATAAAATCAAAAAATAATTTCCATTCTTTATAATTTTTATAAGATGAAGAAATCTTAAGGTAATTTTAAGTGTGTTACTATAGATGCTAAGACATAAAATATTTTAGATTTATTTGAATTTTTTTAATTAGATGAAAGAGATTTGTAATCACCCCTTTATAAATTAGAATTTAAGAATATTGCATATTATAAACAATTTCATTAATATACAACTATTAAAAATTTTTATTACAGACATACATATTTATTTCAATAGTTACCTATATATTATGGATAGATAAAAGTAGGTTAATTTAATAATATCTTGTAAAAAAGCTTCCTAGAAGCTTCATAGATTAGATTTTATCTTTATATGTGTCTATAGGTTATTGATAGGTTAGAAACTTGGTCAACAAGTTAACCATGTATTACACGTCTTGATAGCTTATGGTACAAGCTAATAATGTGGGACACATATAAAAAACTTGTCTTGTAAGTTAAGACATATGTCTTGTAAATTAGATTCATGTCAGAGGTCCTATAAAATGTTGCCATATAGCTTTTAGTTACATAATACATATGGAGGTAAGAATGAAGCCTTCTTCACTCTTGTTAATGCCTTTTTAGCCCTTACTCTTGTTTCAAGACTTTTTAATCTTCTTATTTTTGGCAATAGCCATTTCAATTTCAATACTATATTAGTTTTGAATGAATATCTATTCTTTTTGAGTTACACAAGAGTGTATTGAATATTTGATTCTTCAAGATTTATATCCTTGACAATTTGACAAGAATGCTAACTGATTGTCGTTGTCTTAATTTTAAAAGTGAGTGGACTATATATCTTTGAAAAAATATTCATTTGATATTAGACGTTACAGATTACTCTCTTTTAATTTAACTTTTGAATTTATTTGAGTTGTTTACAGATGGAAAAATTATTGATGCTACTCTCCACAAAAGAAAAAATAGATTTGCAACAATTGCAAACCTTTACGAGTTTTTCAATACTCTTAGGGTGGAAATTTCATGTATCTCTAATACCGACAATAGAGGTAATATTCTAATACCTAAAATAGATGATCAATAATGAAGCTCAAATTCTATGCCAAGAAATTTCGTAATTAAGAGAAGCAAGTAGATCAAGTTCATAACTAAATTCAAGAAATCTTGCTACTACAAATATAAGAGAAGTAATGATTAATATATTAGAAAAGTTTAATGGAACCAAATCAAATTTTTAAGAATTTCTACTATAAGTAAAGCTATATTTGAGGTTGTATCTTTTTCAATGTCTTGATGGATTTACTCAAGTTGGATTTATAAGTGCATTTCTTTTTGAAAGAGCTTTATCTTGATTTATACCTTTGCTAGAAAAAGATTTTTGACTATTCTATGATTTAAATTCATTCTTAAAAATCTTCATTATTATATTTTTAAAAAATGATCAAAAAAGAATAATAGAAAATAAATTTGTATCTTTACAATAAAGATCATGTCCAACCACCATATATATTGTTGAATTCTAAAACCTTACTTGCAACATGGATTGGAATGACAAAGCCCTTATCAATCAATTTTCATATAGATTAAAAAATAATGTCAAAGATTTATTATTGATAATGGGAAGAGTAGACTCATTGGAGTAATTTATTATTCAAGCCATTACATATGATAATCAATCCTTTGAAAGACACCAAGAACAAAGATTTGGTTAGAGAGGTATAAGTCAAGTCATAGCGATAGCTTCTAAGTTCACAAAAGCTTCTCATCAAGATTGAAACCTATGCAAATTGACATGGTACATTTATAACCTCTTATTGAGCAAAAAAAGACTCAATGCCAACAAGAAAGATTGTGCCAATATTGTAGAGAACCTAAATACAATACTCAATATTATTCAAAGAATATAACCACAAAATGAAAAAAATGGTTGCTAAAGAGGATAATATGTTAAAAAACTAGTGTCTCTAACTACAATAGGAACCATGCTACTTGAATCTTATGCAATACCTAGTAAAGGTCCTATCCTCTCTTCAAATTCTTCACCTTCTTTTATAATAGAAAATTTATTTAAGACTAATAAATCACAAAGTTTAAGCCTTATTAGATTCAAAAGCCTTGGCTTCTTTTATAGACAAAGACTTTGTCAAAAAATAAGAATTATATTTAATTATAAAACCAAATCTATACACGTAGAAGTAATTGATGGTTGTTCATTGTCTTCTAAAGCTATCATTTGTAAAACCGTTCCTTTAAAAATAACAACTATTGGTCATAATAGCTTAGTAATATATAATGTCATTAAATCTCCTTTTAACCTAATTATTTTGGAATTATTGTGATTAAAAAAGTATAATCTTCTAATAGACTATATTTCTTGTAATTTTAAATTTTTCCATAGTTTAATCTAAGATTTTACTAATTCCATAGAAATCTATAAGTCCAATATGTCCAAATTCTTATTAATAGATATAAGAACTTTCATGCATGTTGCAAAAAAAGGATCAAATTTTGCTATATATGCCACATCTATTTTTGATGGAGAAAATATTTTAAGTAGCATTCTAAACCAATACCAAGATTATTAAGATATTTTTGAAAAGAAGAATGTAAATATTTTTTAAGAACATCATCCTTATGATTGTTTCATTGATCTTAAAGAAAGGGTTCAACCACCATTTGGACCAATCTATAGCTTATTACAGAATAAGTTGGTGGTATTTAAGGAATACCTTGATAAGAACTTGGTTAAGAACTTCAAATATCACTTTAAATCTCTAATAAGGACTCCTATCTTTTTTGTGAAGAAAAAGATAAATCTTTGTAGATGTGTGCAAACTATCAAGGATTCAATAAGATCACCAATAAGAATAGGTATCCTCTCTCTTTAATTTCAAGACTTCTTGATCAAGTCAATCAAGAAAATACCTATATTAAAATATATCTATAAAGATCATTCAATTTTACATGCATTAGATAAGGAGATAAATAAAAAATTTTATTTCAAATCAAGTATGGACATTTCAAATATGATGTCATTCCTTTGAACTCACAAATACACCAATTATTTTTCAACATCTAATAAATGATGTCTTTTGTAAATTACTTGATAATTTTGTTGTTTGTTATCTAAATAATATATTATTTTACTTTAAGAATATAAAAGAGTATGAATTTTATATTTATTGTATGTTACAAAAATTGAAAAATAAGATTATATGGCAACTTGAAAAAGTGTGTATTTTATATTATGCAAGTTAATTTCTTAGATATATCATTTCAAATAATGATCTTAAAATAGATTTTAAAAAGGTCTAGATTATCATAAATTAGAATATTCTAAAAATAATCATAGATTTATAATGTTTTTAGAAATTATCAAATATCATTGAATCTTCATTAAGAATTTTTTTCAAGTTTCAACTTTTTATACACATTTGACATTTAAAGACAAATTTAAGTGGAACATAGTAATTGAAGCATCTTTTAAAGCCTTAAAGATAGCATTTATTATTGTA